ATCCTAAATGTACCAAGCTTGATGAATTCTGTCACAGAGGAACGCACCCCCCCCCCCCCCCCCCCCCGCCACGGTCTGGATTATCAACTAGGACCTTCCAGCCCGCCCGCCTTGTCCACTTCTCTGGGGGGTGATTAGTTTCCCTGGCATTTGAACTTGGCAGAAGTGACTCGTCCAGGGCCCAAGGTTGTGTTTGAGAAGTTCATCCACCTTGCTGTGCGTGCCTGGGCGTGTTCTTTGTTCGTTTCCACTCCCGAAGTCTATCCTGCTGCCGCCGGGGTGGGGATTGGGGTTTTGGCCACCCCAGCGCTGCCCCGAGTATTCCTGCACATGGCTTGGGGAGAGCCTCGCCTATGTACGCATTTCTGCTGGTATTCACCATTTATAACAATCCCCTGCATGAAATGCACAGATAATATGGCCTGCACACCCCACACCCACACCCTCCTTCATGCCCATCAACACCAACCCTTCGCGACCGGGGTTCTCAATCGGTTCACTGACTGACTTGGTGATCTCCCAAGGTTTCCACCAGCGCACATTGTCAGAGGCCTGGAATTGGACACTGGGTCTAAGAGACAACAGTTAATGGACAGACTTGGAGGGCAGGGCGCCATGTTTTTTTGCCCAAGCAGCCAAGAGGTACACAGGTGCCCAGAGACTCACGGGACTGAGCGAAGGGGGTCAGCGTGCTTCTGCCGAACTACAGGCCATCTCCGGGACAACTACCGAGGTCACCTGAGGGGGCGTGGGTGTTTTACCTTCCAGTTGGGTACCTGTGATTCTCCCTGGAATGTCTGCCTCCCTCCCTTTCCCTGACCTCCTTGCTCCCTTATCAACAGATTTGTGCTTTTATGGGGCTGTTGGGGGATGTATTTACATATAACAATGTTCTCCGCACCCAAGGCGTGTATATTTTTCTTGGCTGTTGGGAGGTGCTGGGTAGAGGCCCCAAATTGGGGTAGACCACCCAAATGGGTGGTCCCATTTGCCCACTCAGCCAAACAGTGACGGGGCCGGGCGGGGGCTGGAATTAGAGAGGATAGGTTAATTCATGAATGAGGTACACATTATGCCCTTGGTTGAGCAAGCTGGTGGGCCTGGTCGGATTGCCGCGGGCTGGACAAGTGTCCGGGTGGGCTCAGGGTTTTCTTTGGGGCCTTTTTTTGTGAGGCCACCATTCTTGCAACAGGGGGTAAGTAATCTGGAAAGCGGTGTGAATAGTGGACGGCGGGTAGAGGGGGATCCATCATGTAGGAGGGCAAAGTCAGCTTTCCCTTCGGGAAGCTTCCAAGATGATTCTGTTAAAATGATTAATTAAGAGTAAGTTCACTTACTGAATGTCTCTGTATGCCGGGCTCATTCATTCCACAAATGTCTGCCGAGCACCTCTGATGTGCGCGGTGATCCAGGAAGGGACCAGAAGGACTAAGTCGTTGCCCCAGGGGGAGGGGTGGACACGTCTGGAGGAAAGACAATGAGGCAATAAACAAATGCACACACCGGCTCATGCCAGGGAGACACGTCTGGCCCAGAGGAGGCTAAATCAGGAAGGAGGTTCAAGGTGACGGGGAGTCAGGGGAGAGGTATGGGAAGAACTATTGTGAGTGGGTAGGGAAGCTCGGGTCTTGAGCTGAGCCGGCCCCGAGTGTCTGGAGAACACTAAGGAGGTCAGTGCAGCTGGAGGCGTTCCTGGAAGGTGTGGCAGGTACAGATACGGACAAGCAAGGACAGTGCCTTCCAGGAGGTCAGTCGAGTGGGGGCACAGATGTGAATGCCCCCAGATGATAATGCACCGTTTCGTCATTCTGGATGGGGTAACAGTAGGATGATGTGATTTAGAGCGTGCCCCTGATGAGGCAGGGAAGTACAGAGGCGGCGAGGAGTGAGTTGGGTTTTGAAGGATGAGTAGGAGTTTGCCAGTTCTGCCCATTCTCCTCAGAAATAGCTGCATGGGCCACCCTGGGGGATGGGTCTAGGATGAGAAGTGGTTGAGGTTCAAAGCCCAAGCTTTGGGACTGGATGTGGCCTCACGCCCTGCCTCTGCTGTGTTCCATCTCGGTGGCCTCAGGAAAGTTGGTTGACCTCTCTGAGCCCATGTCCTCATCTGCCAAATGGACTTGTAGGGGTCTGAGGAGGTGGCGTGGGGGCAGCAAGTGTGAATGGCTCTGCATGCTGCCAGAGGGGTTGGTGCTCATGAATAATGGAGAACGTCGCCCAACGACCAGCCTGCGGGTCGCCTCGGCATAGGAGGCGTCTTTGGCCAAAGGCACGAAGGTTTGGGAGACAGTGTGGGGAGATGGAAATGAGGCCTTGACTGGAGCTGGGCTTTGCTTCTTGAGGTTGTCAGTTTTGAAGAAGAGGCTGTGGGCGGCTGGTGGACTGGCCCGGAGGGCGGGATTCCTTCTTTCCTGAGAGGGGAGAGAGCTACACTCACCTGGGGCAGCCCCATGGGCCTTTCTGGGGCGCCATAGTAACCTGGCGCTGGTCATGGCACCAGCATTCCCTGGGCCCCAGCTGGATCCTTCTTTACATTCTCCACTTTCATGAAGGAGGGATTCCTTTGGTGACATTTTGTAGAATGGAAAACCGGCTCGAACAATTGGTGGGAGAGAAAGGACTTGAAGCAAACTTCAAAGGCCCTCGTCTGACCGTGAACTCTGGGTTTGGGGGTGACTCTTCCTCCCTAGGAGCAGGGCCTGCAGGAAGATGGGGCGTCCACATATCCTATCCTCCTCCTCTCTCTTGACTAATCAGGAGGCCCTTCTCTCTCTGGATGATTTTTTTTTTTTTAATTTTTTTTTTCAACGTTTATTTATTTTTGCAACAGAGAGAGACAGAGCATGAACGGGGGAGGGGCAGAGAGAGAGGGAGACACAGAATCGGAAACAGGCTCCAGGCTCTGAGCCATCAGCCCAGAGCCCGACGCGGGGCTCGAACTCACAGACCGCGAGATCGTGACCTGGCTGAAGTCGGACGCTTTAACCGACTGCGCCACCCAGGCGCCCCTCTCTGGATGATTTTTAAGCAGCTGAGCTTGGCCGTGGGTGTCCAACCCAAGCAGCAAAGGACAGTGGGAAAGAAGCCCAGCTCTGGTTTTTCTGAGGTGTTGCCTGAACTTTCGGTGGGTCTTGCGAGGTTCTGTGCCTCTCCCTGAAACTGCTGTCAGGCGGCCGAAGTTGGTGGAGGACCCAGATGAGGCGGAGGCCCTGAGCTGCCACCTGCAGGCGCTCCCTGAAGACACCTTCCTGACTGACGGGCACGGATTTGCTTCAGCCAACTATGAACAGAGCCCCCACTCACCGTCCTGTCAGCATGAACGACCCATCTTCAATCAGCTTGACCACCGAGGGCTCTAGGGTTGCCAGATTCAGTAAATACAGGATGTCCAGTTAAATTTGAATTTCACGGAGCATACTTATGCCACACTATGTTTATACTAAGAAATTGTGTGTTGTTCACCCAAAACACAAATAATCCAGTGAAGAAATGGGCAGAAGACATGAATAGACACTTTTCCAAAGAAGATACCCAGATGGCCAACAGACACATGAAAAGATGCTCAACATCACTCATCATCAGGGAAATGCAAATCGAAACCATGATGAGATCCCACCTGACACCTGTCAGAATGGCTAAAATGAACAACTCAGGCAACAGCAGATGTCGGCGAGGATGCAGAGAAAGACGAACCCTTTTGCGTTGCTGGTAGAAATGCCAACGAGTGCAGCCATTGTGGAAAACAGTATGGCGGTTCAAACAGAGCTGCCCTACAACCTAGCAATTGCGCTAGTAGGTGTTTATCCAAAGGATACAGGAGTGCTGATTCGAAGGGGTACATGCACCCCAATGTTTATAGCAGCACTAGCAACAATAGCCAAAGTATGGAAAGAGCCCAAATGTCCATCGACTGATGAGTGGATAAAGTTATGGTATATGTATACGATAGAGTATTACTCGGCAATCAAAAAGATTGAAATCTCGCCATTGGCAACAAGGTGGATAGAGCTAAAGTGTATTATGCTAAGTGAAATTAGTCAGAGAAAGACGAATATCATATGATTTCACTCATATGTGGATTAAAGAAACAAAACAGATGAACATAGGGGAAGGGAAGGAAAAATTAGATAAAAACAGAAAGAGAGGCCAACCATAAGAGATTCTCAAATACAGAGAACAAATTGAGGGTTGCTGGAGGGCAGTCGCGGAGGGGGGGGAATGGGTTACATGGGGGATGGTCATAAAAAAGGGTGTTCGTTGGGATGAGCACTGGGTGTTATATACAAGTGAGAAATCACTGAATTCTATTCCTGAAACCAATATTACACTATATGTTAACCAACTTGGATTTAAATTAAAAAGAAACAAGAAATCTCGTGCGGTTGCGCTGGGTCCTGTGTCATCTCTGAACATCCTAGTCTCGGTGAACTTCTGCATTGGTGTGTGTGCCTTCTCCTCCTGTCCTCGTTCTAGGACTGGAAACCTCCTCCCTACGATATTTGAAACGACATTCGCGGACCTCTGACGGACACTGTTCACCATTTCTTCACTTTAATTCCGTTCTTTTGGAAAGAGTGTTATTCAGGAAGAGCTGGGAGGGGAAGGGATGGCCACACTTGCTGATTCCCATCATACGTGGGAAAGGGAGGAAATATTTACAGCTTGGGAAGGTTTGCCATATTCCTGCATATTAACATTTTTGGCCATCTCTCAGCATTCTGGGACAGTTTTTAGTTTTTATTTTTTATTTTTTCCCCCATCTTGCTGTTGCTCTATAAAACCTTTCAACAACTGGAGCCAACTGTTTCTTTTTAGTTTTTAAGCTTAAACAGTTTTCTTTTTTATTTTGTGATTTTTTTTTTTTTAAACCAAAGAATGTTTTGTGCAGCCAACGTCCCCGCCAGCCAGCCAGCCAGCCAGCGTGCCTTTTTCCCGCAGCGCGGGTGATTATTACCTCGACTGCATAACAAAGACATGAAGGCTTGAGATAAAGGTGCCAATTTGCAGGGCAGGTTTTTGATGGCTTCACTGAGCTTAAGGAACTCCAAGGGTCTCTAGGCCTTACGCCCCCATTATGTTAGCTCGGGTCACAGCAAAGGGACTCTTGTCTTACCTTACAAATTGTCCACACTCCACACACCTAAAGTAACAATTAACATCACTCTCTGGGGCTTATTGAAGAAGAACAAAGCCGAATCCCTCCCACCGCGCCCCAGAAGCCTCCCTCTCAGCTTTGTTCTCCGCTGGGCGCAATTATCAATGACTCCACGTCGCGGCCCCTCCGGGTCAGGGTGCATTTTGTTCCTCTCTTTCGCTCTCACCTGCCCCTTCCTTTCCAGCCTCTCTTGTGCCAGCTCTTAGGATGTGAGAAAAGCCCAGCCCCTGTGTGAAAAGTAAGCCTGAATGCTAGGGGAGAAGAGCCAGCTTTGATTTCCAAGCGAGACTAACACTCAGCGATCTTTGCAGGGGAAGGTGGTAAGTGCCCGGGAGCGGTCCTCGGGTGGCTGTCAGAATGGAAGGCAGAGGGTGTCCATGGGCTGTCCCAAGGCGCGTCTGCAATGCAGTCTCTGTGCTCGAGGAGGAGTCCGCTTAGAAGTGCATGTGCTCTGAGAATGCAGGTGTCACCCAAGAAGGGCTTGGAGTAGCCTGAAGTCGCAGGTACTGTCCTTGAATGGAACTCGAGTGGCGTATTACCTGTGATTCCAGAGAGACCTCATCGAGCTGGCCTGGCCAGGCGCCGGGCTTTGCTGTCCAGGGTGGACCAGCTACCCTGGGTTCTGCCAGCAGAGGGTCCGACAGAAGGTTTGGAAGGAAAACTAGACCGCTGCGCAGGAAGGGGAGACGGGAGGCGGTTTCCATGTTCTGTTCCGTAAGATTACGGATTTACTTACCAGGCAGACCTCTCCCCTTCCCCTTCCGCTGAGGCTTAAGGCAGGCTACGGTTTTCAGTGGTCATTCATTCGCTCATTCACTCAACTGACAGATGTACCGAACCTCCTCTACGTGCTGGGCTTTGTGCCAGGCACTGGGGACCCATCAGGGGCAAGGCAGGACTGGTTCCAACCTCAGGAAGCTCCCAGTTTAGTAGACCAATAAACCAGGAGACTTGCAGATGGGGACAAGGGTTAAAAAGAACAAAACAGAACAGGTAAGGGGTGTTGTGGGGTGAGGGAGTTGTGGCAGTAGGATGCCAGGGGAGGTGGCATTTGAGCAGGGACACGAGCAGTGCAAGCAAGCCATCTCTGGAGACAGAGGAGGACACCCATGGGGGCTGGGCGGTCCACCAGGCCTCGGCACCAGGTGGGCCTGGGGAATTTGGACTTTTTATTCCAAGTTCAGTGGGAGGTGCTTAGCGCACCTGGGTAGGGCTGTCCAGTCCAACACACAGGCTTTGCGGCCTCGGGCACAGCGTAGGACCCCCTGTGTCCCCCCGGCGCCGGCCCCCCCCCCCGGCCCCCAGACGATGTTCTCTCATGTTCTCATTGCTGCTTTTTGGAGTTCAAGGGCATCAATGGGTTCAGGGCTGGGACCTCATGAAAGAGAGTAGGAAGATCGCGCTCCTGAGATCTTTTGCAGACTATCCCCTTCCGTGCTTCAAGTGGTTCTGGGATAGCAGCTAACTATACTTCCCTCCAGCCTGGCTGGGGCCTGGTTGATCACCAGGTGACATTTCACCGGGCTGCAGTGATTGGCCAGATAGGAGGCCATGTGACCGAAGCAGGGCCAATCAGAGTCTTTCCCTGGGTTTTTATGAACAGACACCAAGCTGGGATGACCCTTTTTGTCCCTAGGCTGGGATATGGAAAGCTTAGAGCTGTCTGTGGCCAAACCCCTCTCTTCCTGCCCCCTGTGCGTGCTGTGCTGCTTCCCTGCCGGTAGGGGAGAAGCCTGAATGCTCCAGGAAACAAGGAGGCCAGTGTGCAGAGAGGGGGAGGGGAGGGTCGAAGTGAGGGCGCAAGAGAAAAATCTAGTGGCGGTTTGGATGTCTGCAGGTTCCTGAGGCCAGCTCTGCCCCTGGGTTTCCCAGTTACTCGAACCAGTTAAAGCCCACTCCAGTTTTGGTCGTGATGGGGGTTTACGCGTCGCAACAAAACGGATTTCAGACCATTTCTCTCTGGAAAGTCGTCTAACCCTCCCGCGGGGAAAATCGTGCGGCTAACTGAGTAGGTTCTAAGATCCCCATCTAGTCAAACGTCCTTGGTCTTAATTTGCTTAATCCCCCCCTCCCCCACCCAGTGGCCCCACTGCTCCCGGGCTGGGTCAGGTGTGGCAAGGGTTTGCCGTTTGCCTAGTGCACAGGCCCTGCCTGTGTTAGGTCCTAGGGACGCCCTGCGGGTCAGGCACATTCCCCAGCCCTCCCCCTCCCCCCCACCTCGTGGCTGGGAAAGGAAGCCCCTTCCAGAGAGAGGAGGAAGCCACACAGGGGGCTGCGCGGGGAGGGAGCGGTGGCTCAGGGGCCACCCTCACGTCTCCCCACCGCTCCAGTTAGGACCCGGAGCCGCTTTGCGGCCGCTCCTTTTTAGAGGTTCGCCTTCTCTGCTGCGCGGGCAGTAGGGCGTCCTGACGTGTGTACCGCCTGGCTGTTACCCCACAGTGATGACGACCACGTATAAGCTGGAACTTACTTAGCACTTAACCGGGCTGAGTACCTGCGAAGCCCCTCTGCCTTGCGACCTCACGGTAGCCCCGTGACGCGGGAGTGATGAACGTTCTTCTTTTGCAGAGGCAGACACAGCATCAGAGAAGTTCAGGCGCTGGTCCACGGTCGCACAGCGTTATCGCCGGAAAGCCGAGATCCAGGTGAGCTTAGGCATCAGTGTGGCAAACGGCAAGGCGAGGGCTCACCCGGGGTGTCCTGGGGCCTCCTGGATGGACAGTGGTCCGCAGTACCTTTCCCGCGACAATCTGGGCCGTCCCACGTGACCGTAAACGACTGCAAAGGAAGGAGAGAACAGCGTTTCTCCTCCAGGCTCCGTGGGCGTCTGTTGGGCATTTCTTAAGGACCTGCTGCGGGCCGGGCTCCTGGCGTGGGCGGTCGGGGGTCTAAGCGTCCTCCCACGCTCTAGGCCCAGCCACGGGTCAGTGCCCGGCACGCAGCGGGCCCTCTGGGGACACTTGTCTGGTGGAACGAAGGCTGTTCCGGCCCTTCCGGAGCGGGAGGCCTCACCTGGGACATGAAACGGCATCTCGAGTAGCTGAGAAACGTGGTCCCCTCTGCCTGTCATGGACGTGGGGACAGGACCCACGGGGACTCCGCATGTTTGATCTGAGAGGCGAAGGGCTTCTGTGGAGTCACCTCTCTCGGGGGCCTCACCTCGGAGTCGGGGGAGACGCGTCTATGAGGCCTCTTGTTTGCTTTCAGACAACTTCGTCTCTAGTGGATTTTATTATTTTTTTATTTTTATTTTTTTACGATATTCTATTTTATTTTTTATTTTTTTTTTCAATATATGAAATCTATTGTCCGATCGCTTTCCATACAACACCCAGTGCTCATCCCAAAAGGTGCCCTTCTCAATGCCCCTCACCCACCCCCCATCAACCCTCAGTCGAGTGGATTTTAAAGGAAAGCTCGGGGCCTCTACGAGATGCAAAAGGCTAAGGTGGGAATGCGGGTTGTTTCAGAGACCTGGCTGCGGTTACTGGGGGACCGCGTGTGGGCCACGTCTTTTAAAGCTAGTGAACGAGGAGAGCAGTGGCTCCCAGCCCGCCACTGTCTGCCCCATCGTCGGACAGCCTTGAAAGGGAGCATTCAGGGGGAAGTGGGGACACTCTTGGGGGCGTGTCCGTGGCCCCTGACCTCCTCCCCCTCCCATCTCGCCCGATGAGCCCCCACCAGGCCCCCTCATCGCTCCCGTGGGCAGCCAGGGGGGCTCGGCGGTCCCAAACTGGAGCGTGGACCCTCCCTGTGTTAGGCCCCCCCAGCGGCCCTCCCGTGTTCTCAGGAATGACGTCGTGCGGTGCGAGCTGGGCTGTGGAACTGGCCTCCCCGGGTTCGAATCCTTCCCTATTTACCAGCTGTGCTCACTTGAGAAGATTCCTTCCTCATCTGTAAAATGGAAATCACAATAATAACCCTCTCGACAGTTGTCATGAGGAAGAAATGAATTAGCACCATGTATGAAAGGCATTTGCACACGGCCTAGCACAAGTTATAGACAATGAAAGTGTTTGCTCTTAGGGTCAGGTGGAGACTGCTCCTGGTGGACATAGGCCCTGCCTAGGCTGATGCATTCACCTTGACCTCACCTCCAACCTCTCACAGGCTGTGCTCCTGCCTCACCCACCTGGTTTCCATCTAGGAGACACTTCAGGCCAATTCCTGCCTCTGGGCCTTTGCACTGGCTTTCTCTATGCCTGGAATGCATGTCGCTTTTCTTCCTCCTGAACGCTTCCCAGACCAGGCCAGATGCCCTCCCCACACTTTGGTAGCATTTGTAGGCAGGGTTTTAAAGTTTTTAAAAAAAATTTTTTTTTTCCAGCGTTTATTTATTTTTGGGACAGAGAGAGACAGAGCATGAACGGGCGAGGGGCAGAGAGAGAGGGAGACACAGAATCAGAAACAGGCTCCAGGCTCTGAGCCATCAGCCCAGAGCCCGACGCGGGGCTCGAACTCACGGACCGTGAGATCGTGACCTGGTTGAAGTCGGACGCTTAACCGACTGCGCCACCCAGGCGCCCCTAAAAAAATTTTTTATGCTTATTTATTTTTGAGAGAGAGAGTGAAAGTTTTTTTTTTTTTTAAAGTTTATTTATTTTGAGAGAAAGAGTACAGGCAAGTGGGGGAGGGGCAGAGAGACAGGGAGAGAGAGAATCCCGAGCAGGCTCTGTACTGTCAGCCTGGGCCCTGATGCAGGGCCGGATCCCCACAACCTGTGAGATCATGACCTGAGCCGAAATCAAGAGTCAGGCGCTTAACCCGCTGAGCCACCCAGCCCCCCTCCCCGCCTCACAGCACGTTTTCATAATGAATTTTCACCAGTGAGTTTTGCCCAACAGGGACCTCTCAGAGTCCAGAACAACGATGGCTCTTGGTTGGCACTCAGGATTCCCTTGGTGAAGGTGTGGATGAGGCAGCCTGCTGTTCTCACCACACATTCACGCCCACGGGCTGCAGAGACCAACGGACCGATTGGTGTGCTGGACGTCCGTGCAGGTGTTTGCAGAACTCCGGACGAGGCAAGGGCAGGACGAGACTGTCTTTCCACCCCTGTCTTCCTCCTTCCTTTGGGGTTTCCCGCTCCCAGCGGTGGCTGCTGCAGACCTAGGGACCATGCACGCACCCCCGCTGGGCCCTCCCAGACCCGCTGAGCGTTGCTGGCTGGGCCGTGCACATCAAGGCAGAAATAAAAAGATGCAACTTTGAGTTCTTTGGCTCCTCTGGGTTTAAATCAAACTCTTAGTGTAATTTCAAACTACTTTCTTTTTTTATTTTTTTTTTCTTTTGCTGGGTCTATTTTATATAGAGCATGTTTCAAATCAAAGCGAGGGAACATTTCCCCCCCTTCTTCCCATGAAAGGCAGGGGGTCTAAGACATTTTAATAGCTTTCATATTCCTTGCTCCAAATATATTATTTTAGCACAATAGTTCCTTTGCGGGAGAATTGCTTAAATGATTCAAAATGGATTTAAAAATATATTTCAAGTTTTAATTTTATGCACAGCACATTAATGAGCAGAGTGCCTTAGAGACTGCCTGTCAGTTTAACATATTCACAATATTCTCAACACAGATGTTATTCCATCTAAACCCTTTTAGAGGGAAGAAACCAGTCATTTTTTTCTTGGGGGATGTCAGAAAATATATTATTTTTGAAATTGTATTTTGATCCCAGAATTCTGTGCAAAAATATGATCATTAGGGTCTGGGTTTGTAGAGTCAGTCCCGTGGACACCAAACTTTTAAAAAGTCCCGAAAAGAGGAGCTGTCAGAACCCTTCACTCAGTTCACTTTCTCTCGCGGGGACTCTGAGCTTCGACAAGTGGAAGTGGAAATAATGGAAACTTCACCGCCCTGTGCGTCAGATGGGTCAGGGTCAGGGTCAGGGTCAGTGGTACAGTTAGGGCCAGGGCCAGGTCATGGTTACAGGTTAGGGTTAGGGTCAGGGTTAGGAGTTAGGGTCAGGGCCAGGGTTATGGTTTAGGTTAAGGTTATGGGTTAGGGTGAGGTTTAAGGTAAGGGTTAGGGTCAGGGTTAGGACTTAGGGTTAGGGTTTAGGTTAGGGTCAGGGTAAGGGTCGGGGTTAGAGGTTTGGGTAGGGGCAAGGTCAGGGCTAGGGGTTAGGTTTAGGGTTACGGTCAAGGTCAGGGCTAGGGATTAGGGTTATGGTTAGGGTTTGGGTTGAGCCTCTTTTAAGGTCCAGTTGGAATGATAGTGGGTTTGATGTGGAAATCTTTAGAAGGTATGACTCTCTTTTTCTTGTTTTTCCCATTAAGGTGCCTGATATTGGCATCAATGGGTCTCTGTCTCCTTGGCTTATCAGAGGTGATCCAGGCTTAGCCGGTATTGAGTATATACAGGCTGGCATTAATCACATCTGTTCCTAAATGTCCAAATCGTGAAGCAGCTGCATAGGTACAGGTGAATGCTTTCTTCCAGGTCAGTGCCAGCTGTCATGGCCTTGATCCTGCCCAGAGTACCAGAGTAGTGCTGGGTGTGGAGTGGCCCTCTGCCCAAGCACACCTGATTCCTGTGGATGTCGAGGAGAGGTGAGCTTTCTGGAGCCTTCTCTGTGAAACTGGGAGTGGTGGTAGGGTCAAGTGTGTGGCCCACAATGAGAGCCCCTATTTTATCTGCGTAGTCATGTTTTCCTTGCTGTCTCCCAAGGCTGTTGACCGTGGGCCTTCCTGAGCTCTCCAGGCCCCATCCAGGGCTTTCTGTAGTCAGAGCAGATTTTTATTTAAGCCAGTGCTATGTTCACAGCCTTCCAGCAAAGGCACCAGTTCCCAGCCAGGGCAGTGTGTGTGATGCTCTGGTTTCACACCCCCCACTCCCCTCAACGTGCTGGCTTATCTGAAGGGGCCTTTGCAGGAGGGGCCTGGGCACCAGATGTGGGGCTTCTAGAGTCTGGGGCTCTAGTCTCCTGTCCCCTGCCTTCCCGGTGCAGCAAGTTCAGGGAGATAAACTCGCAGCTGCTTTCTTAAACAGAAAATGCTATTTTAATTTGAGAGGGTCGGGAGGGACAGAAAGAGAGAGAGAGAGAGAGAGTCTTAAGCAAGCTTTGTGCTGAGTGCTGAAGTGCTGATGCGGGGCTCTATCCCACATCCCTGGGATCATGGCCTAAGCTGAAATCAAGAGTCGGATGCTCAACCGACTGAGCCACCCAGGCGCCCCTAAAATGCTGGTATATCTTAATTCTCAGTGTATGAGAAAGATTCATGAAAAGACCCCCTTCCCCTTTTTAATAATGAAAGAAATTTTATTTTGAAGACATTAAAGTGATGCATAAAAATATGACCTTGGAGTTCACACGGAATAAATGGACCTCAGAATAGGTGGGAAAATGTGAGAAATGGGACAGTGGGGGTGATTTACTGTTCCAGATATTAGTATATGCTCCAAAGACCCAGTAAACACGTGTGTATTGGTGTTCCAGCAGGCACCTTGATGCGTGAAGCAGTAAGGGCCGGTATCACTCAGGAGGTGTCTATACGGACAGCCCGTGTTGCATGTACAATCTAGGGGCTGAGAACTTCCTAATCGAGATTGCAAACCCAAAAGCCGTAAAGAAAAAAGTGATTGTTTTTGACTCTGTGAAATTAAAAAAGTTTTCCATGCCAGAGGCATCACAAAGGCAGTACACACACGACTAAGCTGGAAAAAGTATTTCTAACTTTTCCTTTTTATACGTCGGTCAGAGGGTTCATTTCTATTGCAACAGAAAAATTCAAATAATCCAGATGGGTTTAAAGTAAAACGTGGATGTTTTCTCCCTGCCCTCAAGCCCCTTCTCTGGGGGAATCGCTTTTAACGGTTTAGTGAATTTCCTTTGGGGGCCTGGGGGCGGGGGCTCTTTCTTCTTCCTCATCCAGCAAAAGGAATTAATTTTAGTTTTCTTTTGAGCTGCAGCAGTGGGAAAGCGGGAGAACCCACTTGGGTTTTATTTTTGTTGGTTGTTCGCTTTCCCAAACCTGTCATTCCCCACCCCCCCCACATCTCTGCTATTATTTACTTAATCTTTTCTTTTACACTTAACACACTTTTAAAAGCATACACCGATTTTAAAAAGGAAACTTTAAATCATTACCATAAATGGAAAACCAGCGCCATTTGCCGTATGCAGAAGGTGGTCGTAAAAGTCGAGGGCGCAGAGGTGGTGAAATTCCAGTTCGATGTCGTAGCCGCTTGCTGTCTTTATTAAACACGGGGCTGGCAGCCTCAGGGGTTTGTGAAAAGCGGGCCAGCCTCCAGTGGAGACACTCTTTGGCTGAGGCAGGGGCATGGATTGTAGAGGAATGACTTTGTCGCCATGTTTCCATGCCTTGTGATGCCACCGGCACCTCCAGAGGCAGCGGGGACCTCCCTGTTGGGACACGTCCCCCTCCAAGAGCCTCTGGTGTGATGGCCCTGGATGGACGGAGAGGACGGCGTTCCTCAAACCCAGCACAGCGTACGATTAGGACTTCAGTTTTCCGAATCCCACAGTTGATCTGCATTCATTTCTTTTTTTTAAAGTTTTGTTTTATTTATTTATTTATTTATTTATTTATTTATTTTTGAGAGACAGATCGCGAATAAGGGAGGGGCAGAGGGAGAAGGAGACACAGAATCCCAAGCAGGCTCCAGGCTCCGAGCTGTCAGCACAGAGCCCGACGCGGGGCTCGAACCCGTGAACTGGGGGATCGTGACCTGAGCTGAAGTCAGATGCTTAACCGACTGAGCCCCCCAGGTGCCCCCTTTAACCCGACATTTTTCAAAACTCCTTTTTTAAAATAAACTTACTTGAACTTGCCAACATAGTTTTTTGAGAAGCACTGGGATATTTAGAGAACTTTGGTTGTAACTAATGACAACTAAATACTCTTGCTTTTTTTTTTTTTTAAATAAAGGAAAAAGTGATAATTTGGTGAAGTTTTCAGGGCACTTGCCAGTCACTGCTGGGAGAGATACTGTTTCTCGCAAGTTGCGAAACAATGAGGACTCTGATCTTGTGATTACTTTTTGTCTTCTTTTTCCCCTCTCGGTACTTTTTTTGTTCCCCTGACACTGAAAGGTTTGTCTTTTTTGACAAGTTGAGGTCGAGCACAGCACATCCGCGACTCAGGCAGAAACACGAAAATAGGTCTAATCACACGGAGCTCAGGTCCTGTCGTTCCAGTGTGAATTTTAGCAGCCATCCCGCTGACATAAGCCGCCTCCGAGAGTGTCCCCTGACCAGCTCAGGGCTGGACGTCGGGAAACACAGGGTCCGGCTGCGAACGAAAGGACACGTCGAGCCCGCCATCAACTGTGGGGTGGGAAACGGGTCTGATTGCCAACGGACTATTTCAAAACGCGTCGCTTTTGGTTTCGAAGGTGTGTGTCCCAGTTCCCCGTGTTCTCAAGAACTCCAGAGAGCACAGCGTTGTTTCTTGGCGGCTTCTGCCACCCGGTGATGACGTGTTACTATTTGTTAATGTCTGTGTTCCCAGCGGCTCCATAATAAACGGGCTCATCTCGTGCCCCTGGTAACTAGCTCGCTGCCTGATACACATGGAAATGTGGTTTGTGTCCCAAGGTATAAACAGATACAAGCGAGTGAGCGTGTTCTGAGTGATTAGCTCTGTAATCGCAGGCAGAGAGCGTCAGACTTTGTGCTGGTCTCCTGAGGAGTGTTCGGGATCTAAAAATCTCCCAGCATTGTCGAAAGCGAGTGCCCTCATTGAGTTAATTCAACCGAGGCAAAGAAGGGGGGGAGAAATAAGACGCTTGCAGTTTGCGGCCAAGGAACCGGAGAGGATGAAAAGAATTCAGCAGAGAAACAATACCGCAAATCCATCTGAGCCAGGCCCCTCCCAGAGGCCAAGTTCAAAGTCATCAGCAAAATGATCGCTCAGCATCCGCTAGACAGGCTGGTGGGGCCCTGGGGGTGAGGGGGGAAGAAAGAAAGGGAGGGAACCGGCAGACTCTAGGGTCCCCTCCTCACTCTCTATTTGACAAGCCCAACGAAGCCGCAGAGGGAGAACGTTTGGAAAGCCTTCCAAGACGCTCAGAGACTTCCCTAAGCCTGAATTTTTAAAATCATTTTTTATTCTCATAAACTGTGGTACTTTGTGGTCTCTACCTGTGTCCCACATCCTTCCTGCTTCCGGTGGGCTTCCCACAGACCCCAGCTCCAACTCCGTTTCGCCTGTAACTTAGCAGCGGCACGATCCTGGGTGCGCCGTCC